TCTCGCATCCTTGTCGGCTCCAGCCTCAACCAACAGTTGAATAACTTCCAAATGGCGCATCCAGCACGCTTTGTGCAAAGGTGTATTGCCCTTTGCATCTCTTGCATCCTTGTTGGCTGCAGCCTCAACAAACAGTTGAACAACTTCCAAGCGGCCCATAAAGCATGCTGTGTGCAAAAATGTATCACCCTGTGCATCGCTCGCTTCCTTGTTGGCTCCAGCCTCAACCAACAGTTGAATAACTGCCAAATTGCGCATGGAGCACGCTTTGTGCAAAGGTGTATCATCCTGTGCATTTCTTGCGTCCTTGTCGGCTCCAGCCTCAACCAACAGTTGAACAACTTCCAAGCGGTCCATAAAGCACGCTGTGTGCAAAGAGGTATCACCCTGTGCATCTCTCGCATCCTTGTCGGCTCCAGCCTCAACCAACAGTTGAACAACTTCCAAATGACACCTGGAGCACGCTGTGTGCAAAGGGGTTGAGCCGTCTGCACACTTGGCCTCCTTATTGGCTCCAGCTTCAATCAACACATGTGCCACTTCCAAGTGGCCCCTTTTGCATGCTGAGTGCAAAGCTGCATCACCATCTGCACCTGTCGCATTCGCATTGGCTCCAGCTTCAAGCAACAATCGTATCACGTTCAAGTGGCCCAACGAAGCTGCGATTTGAATTGCAAATAGGCCGTCTCTGTTGCGCACGTTGGGGTCTTGTGGCTTTTGAAGCAATTTCTCGACTTCACCGTGCTGATCAGTTTCGCATGCGACTAAGAAGCTCAACTCGTCCAAGTGACCAGGAGGACAACAGCTCAATATGACCAACTGCAACTCAGGCCAAGCCAGCAAAGCCTCGCCGTCGTCCAACTCCCCCTTCTCACTCAAAAGCCTTTGCCGAAACCTCGAGTATCCCAGCTGAGCCGCGAGGCGCCTCTTCAAGGCTAGGACCGTTTCGCCCTTCTCCACAATCTCCCGCAGCTCCTCGTCATCAAGCTCCGCGACGGTGGCGCCCGAAACGGCACACAGCCGCATGGCTTCCCGGCGGGGCGGAGGAAACGACGAGATTCGTCGGGTGGATCGGAGGGACCCCGACGTACTCCGAGGATGTCAAATGAGCTGGGCGATGCTTGGGTTCCTTTTCTCACGCCCTTTTTGTGTAGAGTTTAGAGCTGTATTTGATGATCTGCCGTATATGTCAGATCCTTTAGAACTGTGAGGAGCGAACGAAGCATGGGACAAATTGGTGCCATGACGACGACGTGACATGACATGACAATCAAGTCTGATGCGCTTTATTGTCACGTCCAGAGCCCTTGATTTGCTGCAGTGACTCTTGCATCGAAATCGATTTAGGCACCGCTGCAATGCGCACTCGCTATTGGCCCCGAATCAAGCAGAGCAAACTCTTCGCCAGATCCCACGCGCGCGGAAAGCCACGCCAAGCAGCCTTAGGCTTTGGAGGCCTTGGTCAGCATCACGATGGCCTTTTCCAAACTCCCACCTGCAGAGGGTGCGAGAGAAAGTACTGGATTCATCTGGATTCTGGATCCTTTCAGTGGTAGCAAGGAAAGTACTGGAGTTGAAGACAGAGTGTCTATGTTCATATTGCCCGTTTTGGGACTCTTCAGCTTTGTCCCATTCTTTGTTTCTGAAAGGATGACTATGTGACCTCTTCAAAAAGTCTTGGGTTTTTTTGAATCAGGATCATCAATAAGAGTCAACCACCCAGAGAAAAACCCAGGGTCTCGGTTCTTTACCTTGTCGGAGGCTCCGTCGACCCGCGACCCGCGACCGAGGGACAGTGTGAGTTCAATCCATGGAACGGTCTGACGAACTCGAGTGCCAAAAAGCAAGAACCAAACGCCCAGTTGGATCCACATAGAAAGGAACCGACGCAGACGTCTGGTGACGAATTAGATCGAGATTCCAAACTGGTTTTGTTCGTTCGCACCTGCTCTTCGATTGAGTCTGAGCTGATTTGTTTTTCATCGGAACTCGGCCAGGTTCGTTCGGCCAGGTTCGTCCGCACGACCGAGCGGTGCGTCCAGACTTATACACGTGATGGTCCAGTTCCAGGCTTCCATACAAACGAAGGAGTTGTTGAGTAAAGCACGTCTGCTCGACGTCCAAGTCGATGATATAATACTGCCCCATTTAGCGTGCTGCATTTTCGGGGTGTTGCACGCATGTCCGATCAAGTCTTACTCCGCTCCGCTCCGCTCCATCCCACCGACCCTCCGAGGTCGACGCCGCTCCGTCGCGCCGGTCGAAGCGAAGCGGCGAAGGCCTGCACGCTCCAGGCTGGCGCGAGCCGGTTCCTCCTCGAAGCCCATCACCCGCAGGGTGGACATCGCCTCGAAGCGTCGCGATGGCGGAGGAAAGGCGGCGGTGGTTCCGGACGTCCGGGCCCCAAAACCGAGCGCTTCGGGGATGTCTGTGGAACGTCGAATCGACAAATGGATTCAAAATGAGAAGTGGCGTCCTGTTGGAGGTCTCCAACAAGCGCCGCGAACGGCCCCGGCCTGTCGCCGCTGGGGGCTCGGCACCGCGCGGCGGGGCACGGGAGAGGTGTCCAGTTTGGCCTGATTGGGCTGAAGAAAAGGTGGGGAGAGAGAGAGCTGGGTAGGAGCAGAGTCATGGGATGTGTTTGGTTTCCTTATGAGTTAAGTTTATGTACCAGCATCCTCCAACAGGTCTCCTTTAGAGGATTCTTGGGTCCCAACAGGTCTCAATGGGTGACCTGTTGGAGGATGCTGGAGCTGCTGGTATACCTTGCATGAACCTCAACAAGGTCTCCAGCGTTTTGGTCATACCTCCTAACAGCAAAAAAGTGGGCCAGTCTCATTTTGTTCAACAAACCCCAAAAAAGAGACAATGCAATGGCCTACCAGGCCATCCTTTCCAAAAATGAGTCAACTCCAATTGGATCCATTTGGATGTTTCTCATTATCAGAAGCCAATGGGAATTGTATTTATATACCCAGATGCCCCTCAGGCTCCCAGGCTCCCTTCGCCTTCCCACGTGGCTCTCGCGCCCGTTCGCACAGCTCGAAGCCCAGCTGCCGAAGACGCCGCTGGGCCGGTGGCGGCGGCCTGGGGCCGATCGGTGTGAATCCGTGCGTGTCAAGGGTGCCGAATGCCAGTGCCAATGGTGTTTCCCGGTTCCTTGGCTTTTTGCGCCCCCCTTCCCACTGGTTCCTTGAAATAGGGGTGTTGGGTCGACGGCCACCAGAAAAAGAGGGCCGAGGGGTCGGCCTCGGTGAGGTGATTTGCTGGGGACAAAAGAAACAACTGTCACAGATGTTTTTGTTGGGGTTGCTGCTATTAAAAGGATAGAAGGCTCAGAGCTCGATGGAGGGGTAGGTGGCTCCTGATCACCTGATCAGACCAAGCCACCTCTCAAAATACTCCCGCTTTTGGGGGGGCGTCCCAAACCGATCCCGTGGAAAATCCCACCGGAATCGGTGGTGGAAGAAACAGCGGATCTCACACCGTGAAACCCGGACTTTCAGTGATGCTGCGGTGATGCTGAACCATAGCTGCGCGATGTCACCATTCTGTTTGAGATGGACCATGGCTTGGAGTGACATCGACCCAGCGGTAAAGACGACCCATTTCTTTTTCGGTGCCTTTGTCAGGTGAGACAGTCGTCCGACCATATGTCAGACCTAGTCGGCCCTTTACAGGTTGCACTCTGCACCACCCACCTGTCACCAACCGAAAGTCGCACCGTCCCTTTGTCAGGTGAAAGTCGCAAAGCGGGATCACCCCAATCCAGCGGCGTGTGAGGAACGAAATGCTTTAGCATGCATGTGAATGTCCAGCTGGGAGGGCAGTTGACAATGTGATCATGTATGGTATGGAAGGGATATTGGAGCTGAGTATATAGAGGGAAAGTCAAAACAACCGAATCCCTGCTCTTGCTGCCACCCGTTGCGACCAAAGACCATGAAAGACCCCACAGCGGATTTCAGAGGAAAAAGATTGAAAAATGCGACGAAGACTCATTGCAACTGAACGGCTGGATTGAGACATCTCACCCAAGTTCACTCAAAATTTCACAGCTTCACTTCAAAAAAGGAGCCCCATCCTTCATCCTTCAACACTGGACGCAAAAAAAGGGGGTTTAGGATGCCCTGGCACCTTTTGGGGCGTCGGTGTCCTGTGCTTCAAGGTCTCTTAAAGACGCCCAACGATTCAGACCTCGCAAGGATTGTTGGTCTGCGATGTTTAAGGAAAAAGAACCCCTCACCCATGCTCACCCTATATACTTCTATACTTCCAGCGCATCTTCCTTTGGACACCGAACACTGCAACGGGGTGGGCGGAGTTCCGCGGAAGACCCCGGCGGTGCCCGGCCTTTGGGGAGGCCTTCTTCGTGATGCGTCGCGCCGGAGCGGCCGACGGCGGAGCCGACGGCGGAGCCGGCGCCGCCGAGCTCGCGGGGGCAGCGGCCACCTGGGGGGTCGCGGGGGGCGACCAGAACATGGGCCAGGTCACCGAACCTGGCCCAACGACCCTCTAAGGGTGGTATGGTGATTGTTGGGTCAAACCAACGGCTTTGCAGAGGGTATCCGTCTGAACAGAGTGACCTCACTTCAGCGGAACGGCGGCGCGCGGCGAAAACCCGTCGGCGGGTCCTTTCGGAATCGGAACCTGAGTACCGTTCTGTGGGCAGGTGGACCAGCGGAAGTCCCAAAATATGGGATACCCAGGAAAAAAGACAAAGAATGAAAGCCTACGACGCCCACAACCTGCGTGATTCTCTCTCTCTCTATATCGCTTTCAGAGCCATGCGCGGATGCCCAATGACCATTCTCGGCGGGGGGAGGGCATAGAACGTCCTACCGTCCTACCAACGCTTGGGGTCGGTGTCCATTCGTACGGTCCCCGCCCTGGCAGCCTCGGGTTCGGATCTCGCGGGGCAGTAGCACCCAGAGAAGAAGCAGCTGGTGGCCCAACAAAGAAGGGGTGTCTTCTTGGACACCCTGAGAAGCCTTTTCAGAGCGAAGGTGCACCATTTTGCAATCAGAAGAAAGCAGATGAATCCGTGCTTTCTTCCTTTTCGACCAGCTGCACCATCTGCTGTCCCCCTTCAAAGCCCGGTTTTGCCCACGCACGGCTCCGTTGGCCTCCACCAGGCTGGAGGACGAAGAGGCCGAGGTCGAGGCCTTCACTTTTGCTCACGCAGAGGGCAACGGTGGAAGGCGAGGAGCAACGGTGGCGAGTTGATGGTGATCAGTCATGCTGTAATTCTATGTTGATGTATTTTGGTTCACCCATAGGTTCCAAAACACCTTCCGGAGGAGATAATAGATAGGAGGTCTGGAGGAGGAGGTTCCAAAACACAGGTTTCGGTCGGAGGAAGGTTCCAAACAAAGGCTTCGGAGGAAGGTTTGAGGAACGTTCCGGTCAACGCAGCCTCGACCTGGTGGATCATCTGTTCGAGCAGAAGAGGCCTGCTGGCTGTGTATCAGCATGAAGCTTGATGGTTTGTGACATAAATTACTAAGAACACACAACATGTTTCTGGCTGTTGGGGATTTTCCTTGGGCATATTCAATATGATAGGTTCTTGTTCTTGGGGACCTGGAAAAAATAGAACACACAGCACCTCCCCTGAGTCTGTTTTCATGGTTTCTGTTGGGTTGAAAAGCGTCTTTGTCGCGTTCAAGAACTTCCCATATCGAAAAAGTAAAACACTGTGGCTCAAGATGGTGAAACTCTTATTCCATATCTCCCAAACCTCTGCCAGTCGGCCTGAAATTCCTACACCAAAAGAAGTATATGGATTGAATGTAATGCGTGAGATTGGGAAATGGTGTGAAATGGATTGAAATGGTTCAACCATACAAAATAACAAAGAACCTCCAAGCAAACGACCACCTGCCACCGCCCACCGGCCACCTGCCACCCCGCCCGGTGCTCTGCCTGTGCAGCTTGCCCACACAGGTCATCCTGTCCTGGCGTGCCGACACGTCCTGATTGAGGGCTTTCTAATCCATGAGAAGTTCAGATGGGGAAGCTTTTGGGGAAGCTTAGGAATGGATGGAACATCTCCGATTTGTCCATTCTTTCTGACCACAAGATGGGTGGCCACGGAATTATGCAGAGGCTGCAGCTGGTGGGTGTGTCTTCCCCAAGACGTGTCACAGTGCCGGGAGACTCAAGCGACTGACCCAATCCATCGACAGCGGTGTCTACCCTGGCGACTGCAACAATCATGGAATTGGAATGGCCCCTGAACAGACGCCCCGCCCCCTTTTTCTCCGATTTGACACACAGGGGGAGAGGGTATCCTCCACTTCCATCCAAGGACGTTTCAGGGAACTGGACGGATCCTGGATCGCTCGTCGTTCGGTGTACCACCACGGCCGACGCGCACGTCGCGTGGGCCACGGATCGGTCGTCCTGGACCCAAAGGAAGGAATTCAGATATCCGGTTTCTATTCAGCGCCCTGGCAGACTTCGTGGGATCCATTTCGAAAGCCGCCCTGGCAGGGGAGGAGGACAGCACAGTCCGGTGGTCTTTGTCATTCAAGGCGGAATCGCCAGATCTGGCAATTCGAAAACCAGGTGGGCCTTCTCCCCAACGCATGTGGTCCAATCCTCAAGATGAACCAACCAAATCCATCCGCATGATGGTTCTAGAAGGAGAGGACCCAAAAACGGTGTTGTGGAAGATCTGGACCCCACCGACCCGTCGACCGGTCGACTTGACCGATTTGATGCCTGGCTCGTCTTGCAACGGCAGGAGGCCGAAGTCCGTCTCCCAAAGGCTCACCTGGCGAGCAAGGGAAGGTGGAGGGAAGATCAGCTCCACCAGGCTCACCTGGAATCCTGAAGAACCTCACCTGGTATGATCTCTTCAATGAACCTATGCACCAGCGGCCCAAGGGTGTGATCTTAATGTCGAAGAGATCCAGGGGATGCGATTCTGGAGGTCGTAAACGGGATCGTTTTTGAAGAAGCATGAAGTGACCAGCTGGTAGGTCTTTTCCTGTGCATCTACACCTTGAATTGCATAGTCGGAACGTAACATGGAGATACATTAAAACACTGCATGAACGGACATCTCTCGGGAAAGCCGAAATGCCCAGATCGACCGGACCGAAGACTGGGTCACCCCTTCTCGGGGCGAGGGTCAATCGGTCCCCCCCTCTGAACAAAGCGTTGCACGCCCCACCTGAAGGATTGCCCAAGTGGACAAACACCATCAAGAGCCCCACATGGGATGGTCCGTGTGCCAGTTGCTCCATGTCAAATCAGTCACTGTCATGACAGCTTTATTGGCGCCGCGTCGGACACCTGCCAAAAAGACGTTCGGAGCATCTGCGCACCGTTTCAGCGTCGTTCGGCGTCGCTAGGGACGTCATGGAACGTCTAGCCTCCCATCTATCTGCGCGCACTGGCCGACCCAAATCCGATCCGATCAATTGAAAGCGATGCTGACGTCGTAGCTCGTGAATATACCTGAAACCTGGTGAATTCTCTCTACCCTAAGAATCCGGGCCCTCAAACACATAGGATTTTGAGGGCCCAGACCCCTGCCATTGAGGGTCCGACCCCTACCATGGAGAGCCCGCACGGATTCTTAGGGTATGTTGTTTCTGGAGCTCCGATCGCTTGCGGCGACCGCCTCGCTCTCATCGGAGCTGGTCTCGTCCGACGAGGAGCTTGTCTCGCAGGAGCTCCTCGGGGCGTAGAGCGGAGCGACGGGAAACGCATCCCGAACCGGTGGGGGTAAGCAGGAATCAACAAAGGGATGGTGCAACACAGGGCACCTGGAAGTGGTTGCGGCATCTTCTGTCCCGTATACAGAAAATATGCACACATGTGCTATATACATAATTATATTCAATGCACATGTGGTTACTATCAATCGGAGCGGAGGAAGGAGAGATTTCTGAACATGAGGGGTGTCCCTGCCATGAGCTCTGCCGATCGGTCAGCTTCCGGGAGCTCCGAGGAACAAAACATGGAACCATCATGAACCATCCATCGATTGGTGGAACGAAGCGGCGACCACCCGGGATCCATGGTCCTGGGCTCCTACGGAGAAGGGAGAACATGGGAGAACATGGGTTCTTCAGGTGCTGCAAAGAACTTCAAACATGCCATGTGAAGTTCTCTGCATTTGGGTCACCCTCGACAGCCCGGGGCGCCCCCTATGAAGATGCACAAAAATCCCAACAGATTTGAAGTCAGACCCGTCAAGAGGAACATCCGTCCAGGTGAGAAGCCTGGCGCGGGTCGCCTGCTCCTTCCAAAAAAGCACCTCCTTGGAGGGTTCATCACTTTTCGACCCTCGGATGGGTTCATGCGCATCCGAACCACAGTAAAACCAAGTTACGGCCCGGTCACATGCACACGAGCCCCGCGAACGAACGATCTTCATGGAACCTAACCCGTGGGCCTCATGCCCCGAGCCCCCCAAAAAAATCGGCGCTCAATGCATTTTTGCGGGCGTTTCGCCCTCTCAAAAGGCCTCAAGGCCCCGAAACGGCGGACCCAAAAAGTTAAATGATCTCCAAAAACCTCAGGCCTTCCATCGCCCACGAATGCCAGTCACAGGCACTCCACGTCAGCCACCACGACCGCCTGCGCCATCTCCGCATCCCCGTCGAGGGCGATCCCCGCAGGCACCGCCGCAGCCGCGGTGCGGCGTGGACTGGGCTGGCTCTCAGGGTCCTGGATCGCGGGGATGTGCGGTCGCAACAAGCTTTCTGGTGGCTGAGGTTACATGAAGGTGAAGGCGATCCATTTTTTCCATATAGAAATCCTTCGTTTTTATCATGTTGGGTGATCCTCTTGAAACCGCCCAATCGAAGCTATAACCTTCCGGGCTGGCAAAGGCCTGGAGGTATCCTTTTTTGGTGGACTATATGTTTATGTGTTTTTCATTGGAACTGCCGTAGTTGGCCTGCTTTCTGGTTGTCGATGGTGACCATCCAGCATTCCGCAAGAATTTCCGAGTTGTGAACGTTGCAAGAACAGAAGACTTTTCGGACACTTCAACAAACCTTACGGAAGCCTTTAGCCGCTTTAGCCCCCCCCCCAAAAAAAAGAACATGAAAACTAGCCACCCCTGCTGTCCAACCCCGAGACAGACGTCCATCGTTTCAGTCCTCCTGCCGATAGAGGTCACGCTTTCGCTTCAACGGCTTTCCCGTCAAATGGACCTGGCAGCACTGCAGCACCGTTGAAGGTCTTTTCCGGTGGGACGAGTTCAGGGAGAGTTCCTTACGCAGATTAAGATCGACCCCCTGGGAGTTCAGTCGATCATCTTTAAAAAAACGTCTCTGACGAACGGTGATCCGAAAGGGAAGCTCCTTTACTTTGAGTGGTGCAAAAAAAATAGTCTTTGGACTTTATAGAGAAGATGTCCTTCAGATTTGAGGGACACTCAACAGAATACCTCAGACTAATCCAGTCCACATTGTGGATTATGTATGAATATGTATCTGGTATCTTCATCAGGGCTCACCCAGGTCCTTGCTCTTCGGTGAAGTTCGCCTTTTCTCCCCACCTTTTTGGAGCCTCCGTGTCTTCTCTCGCACATCCCGAAAACCGCACCGCGGGTTCCCCGCCTTCCTCCCCCCAACCCGCGCGTTCTCCCTCCTCTTTTCGGCGACTTGGACCGGTCGCCGTCCCGTCGCCGTCGCCCGTCTTAGGCGACGCCCATGGGACCGGTCACGGAGATGAGGGTCAGCTCGTGAATGTCGTCGAAGGAGCCGTGGCAGGGCATCCCCAGCGGCGACAGCGAGGTGATGCTCCAGTGATTCTCGGCACCCGGGTGGGGATGCGAGGGAGTGGGGATCGGGTGGAGGATCAGGATCGGCGGAGAAGGCCGAAGTGAGAGTGAAAACCCGAACAGCTTCGATCGCCCATCTATCTCTCCAGTCATGGGAGGGTTCGACGTTAGATTCACCTGCACTGCAACACATCACCTCCGTTCATCTTCGAAGCCACGTTTCCGTCTCGACAACACTGAACCCAAGAAGGGATACAATGAGGACGGACACGTTTCCCCCCAAAAAGGTTTTCCCAAAACGGCTTTCCCAACGACCAAGGTCGCTCGCCCGTCGCTCGCCCGTCCATACCGTTGGCCTCGGAGACGGGCGTGATCTCCGACATCCATGGGGTCGGAAACAGGAATTCACAAGCCCCAAATTCGTAAGGCCTCATCGTTTTCCCATCTCTTCCACCTGCTCAGTGTCAGGCCATTTGTTCCTCCGACCAGCCACGTGCCATGTCTGCAATTCCTAGTTTTCATCCTCCCTCCTCATCCACCAAGGCGCACCCTTCTTTCCCCTCCAAGGCGCTCTCTTCAAGCTGGGTTCGCTGCTGGTCCTCCGGTCCTCCAGCAAGGGCGCCCGTTGCTCCTCCATGTCCAGGTACTCCTCCTCGTCGATCGGCGGCAGGCCCTCGGCCTCCGCATCGCTATGAAGCAGCAGCAGCGCCACGGTGCTGCCGATGACCTTGAGCGCCCAACCTCCCGGGCACTTATGGCCGCACCGGGGACCAAGGGTCTTGAGTCCCAAGGAGAGGCAACCGCCTTCATGTTGGCGTTTTAGGAGGTTTCACCCCCAACATGATTGGCCAGAGGTCGCCTCACCCAAAATGCCTTCCACTTCCCACTTCCCACTTCACCCCAGCTTCATTCAAAGAACCCCTGGATCTCTCACCCGCGTGAAGCAACACCCGCGCAAACGACGCTCGCTCACCGCGCGCGAACGCCGAACGCGGCTCGGCTGCGTCGTCCGGGCGACGAGCGCCACGCCGGTGGCGAAGAGCACCACGTTGGGCGCCCCGCTCAGGTCGTTCAGCTCCCCGAAGGCCAGCTGCGCCTGTGGCGGGAAAGAGAAAGGGACGCCCCACTCGTGAGGGACCTGCAACGGGCCACTGGGTTTGATGTGGAAAAAACCCGGTCTAACGGAGTCTAACGGTCCAGGTGAGGTAACAAGTCTCAGGGTCCAGGTGAGTTTGGAGTGTAAGCGGTAGCGATTCGGCTCTGCTTCCCTTCTTGGCGTGGGCATGGGCATGGCGTGTGCTAACCACCCTTCTGGTACCTAAAAGAAGGGGCACCAAGCAGCAAGCAGCAAGTACTCTGTATCCCTTTCAAAGATGTGCAGTATTTAACACCATGTCTATCTATTTGGGAACCTCCATGACACCATCATATCCGTCTTGAACCTTTGCAGCTCCTGTGCATTTCCTCAGGCCTGTCGTTTCTCACATCACCTTTCAGCTCTCACCTCCAACTGTGCCAAACCCTATCCTTTCTGTGCCAAACGCGCTGCACTCCCATCGCTACTACCAAAGCTGACAGTCGCAATGAACCAAACCAGTGAAGACTCCCGCCTGAGTCTAGCTACGGAAGCTGATTCCAGCCAGCTTCCAGCAACAGCTAATGGGGACTGCAATCCGGCACTGTCCGTGCTTTTTCATCTCATCCCTCGACCCAATGCCAGTTCCCTTGTCTGCCTGCACGAGGCTAAAAAGAACGCCCAGGGCAAAGAACGTGGGGATGACAATGACCACATCCCCATGTCGAAGACCCTGGCGCGGCTTAAATATGCGTGAATGTTCATGCTGGGTCGAGGTGGTCAAGATCTCAGTGGAGAGGGGGTCGCCTCGTTGAATTTGCAGATCCAGTTCGGACGTAACATGGTCGTTTCAGGAGGAATCTAATAGCAGTCTACTTGGACTCCACTTGGCTCCGTGGGCCAAAATGGGCAGGGCTCTTGGAAGAAACCACTCCGTAGCACCCTTCAACCCTACTTCTTGTAAATCGGATCTACCCTTCATGACATAAAGCCTTGAAGTGTTTGACGCAAGTTCTGTCAAACAGTTTGCCTCTGAAGCCTCTGAAGGTGGGTTTGCACACCAAAAGCCTCCAGTTGAATCGATATTGCCCAGATGCTCGTGGACCCTCCTAAGTAGGGGCCGTACCCTCATATGGAGGGGTCCGGACCCTCAAATCCCTATGGACCAAGGCTTGTTTGGAGCGTCTGGGTGAACACGAAAAAAGGGGTCATAATTGGCATGTGCGAAAACCAACTGCTCCAATGCACATGGACCCTGGGTCCATGGCCACGATCACGAACCGCACGGCCGTTTTCGGGGGACGCCGGGACGGAGCCTGGCCTGGTTCATGCTGGTGATTTGTATGGTGACAATGCCTGGCGGAGACGTTTTCATCAGCCCCCGATCTCATCCCTTTCTCCTGCCCTAAGAATCCGGGCCCGAAGCAACACATAGGGTTTGGTTCGGGCCCAGACCCCTGCCATTGAGGGTCCGACCCCTGCCGAGAGCCCATACGGATTCTCTAGGGTGGATTCTGGTGGGTTTTTCAAAGCTGACAGAACCTTCAAAAAGAGCACCCACCCGTGGGCGACCGGACCAACGCCCCGGCGAGAGAACGGACGGACCCCGAAGCGCCCGAGCCGACCGAGCCACGGAGCCAGCGGACGTTTGAGGCCAAGGACCCCTAGTCAAATGGATGGGTCCGAGCTCGAATCCTTAGTCCCAATAAGAAAGACGTCCTTGGAGTGACATGGAGTCAAGGGATGGGTCGGTAAAAAACAAGATGTCGACTGTAATGATGTATGATACGGATACCGTTGCAATACAGGATATATATATACACGCGTTGTAGGGAGATGTCCAGTCCCATGGGATGGTTTGGGCTTTGCACGGAGGAAAAGATGGGTTCTGACTTTGCTTTTCAAATTCGTCCAGGCCATTCGAATGGATCCAGCGCACCGAGGGCCACGACAGCCAAGGCATAGAGCTCCAAGTTCAACCACCATCCTTGGAGCACGGCCAGGCACTTTCTCTGCTGGAGGGAATTGGAGAGTCCTCCCCGACTTGGAAAAGTGCGAATGGATGGCGTGAACGGGAGATGAAGATTGGCTGTTGGATGGTTACCAGGTCTGATTTCATGGTTTCATGGGTGCTCAGGTGGTTTTTTAACAACAGCCGAGGGAGGTGGTTGAAGATTTGCTCTTCAGAACTTTTGGGGTGTTGAGTGCAAAACCCTGCAGGCTCATGTCAGCAAGGAAACTCTTTTCATCTCCACCATCGGCACCAGCACCGGCACCTTCGCCCCAACCACTCCGCCCGGTCTCGCCCGACTCCCACTCGGGCAACGCCGACGAGGGGCGAGAGGTGCGGCCGACCACCTCGGCGCCGCACTTGAAGAAGGTCATCGAGTAGCTCCTGACATGGGAGCCGCAGAGCATCGGCGGCGGGAACGACACGGCGCACGCCGCGTTTCGCGGCGAACACCGCGGTTCGCTGCGTTCAGCGACCCAAAACCGGGGGGGTCTCGCCAGCTCCCCTGACGGGAGGCTTGGTAACCATTCGAACCATTCAAGAACCCACCCACCATCCCCCCGCATTCCCTGGGCGCCAGGCCCAGTGGCGGCACAGGTGAGGCCCAGGAAGATGATCTTCAACTGACGGTCGTTCGAGGCATGGAGCCACGGAGCCGAGAAAGGAAAGGAAAGGGCGTTTGGTGGAAGGTCATCGGTGGGGTGGTCTCCTGGGTTGGCTGGTGCGCATCTAATGGGTGCAGTGCTTCCAGCTGCGGTGCTTTTGCTCCGCCTTTCGACGGCCGCGCCTGGGGAAACCACTTGCAGGCAATCCTCAGAGTGACCAAGACGCAGACCACGCCCAGAGCAGTCCATAAGAAGGCAGGGTGTAGGATAGAGTGGAAGATCTGATTCGCATAGACCTGCCGCAGCGTTTGGGGGACAACCGGTCATCCAACCTTCAAACGTCAGGAGGCCATGGGTGTGATCCAAACTTTGTCCCAATAGAATCCAACAGATATATATATATATATAAGATCCGTGTGGCTTGTGCGAACTTTCTGATAGCTTGTATTACGTGCCTTTCCACGTCCATCTCTCCAACAAGACTTCGACTATGTTCTGTATCATAAGTGAATATTCAGGTCAAGGCCGGCGAGCTCTTCTGTTTCGGTCGGAACAAGACATGCTGATGGGAAAATTGCCCCGCAAAATCCTCTGGTCTCACCGGTTGAGAAATCGTGGCGATTTGGGGGACAGTGGGGGAGAGGATGGACGACAGACGAGGGACGAGGAAGGCCAGAAGATGGACGAGAAACATGAAGAAACTGTCTTATCATTCTTGATGGAAGAGGAAAAATCGTGCACCGGCTGAGGAACATATGATCCGTTCTATGACCTATGACTCTGACCCTTTTCCCTAACCTTCGTGGCGCTTCGTACCGTTCCACCGGGCGCCGCGCCGCGCCTTGCGCTCCTTGGGCACGGGAGTCACACTCACGACTAAGACCTGGGGTGTGGCAGCTCGGGCAGCTCGGGCAGGTCGATGCACTCCAAATGGGCGAATTACACAGCAAATGGGCTCAGCAGATGACTCAGCAGACACGGGCATCTGGCGCCAATCGCCTTTTCACAACCTCTAACTGCATCTTTTCAAGTAGCAGCAGCAAGCCAAGCTCATTTGATCTTTCCACATGCTTTTGTTCACGATGAAACACCAACGCTCCCAAACTGCACCAACCACGGGACCTCGCTGGGTCAGCGGAAAAAGAAGGACACGGACGAAGTCGTCTCTTCGCGACCCAAGGTACCGCACCCAGGACCATGGCACACATCACCAACATCTCGGAATAGCGAAGATGTTCACCCAGTAGGAGATGCGCATACGTGGAGTTGAAGACCTGGCCAGTTCTGGCCAACTTCACTCACGGGCGCGGGGGGGCAACCTCATCCACCTCCGGCTCGGTGAAGAAAGAAACCCGTGCTTTGGGGGTCCGGTATCCAAAGGGCTGAAGAGAAGAGTTGGACCCGGCGACGAGTTGGAGGACGAAAGAGTTTCAACCAGTTCAGACCACTGATTTCCCGCAGTGGTCACCGTTTTCCACATTTGGATGACTCGCACTAGGAGACCTCCATGAGTTGGGTCGTTCCCAAGTTTTGCTTCCAAAACCTCCCGCTCCCTCTCTGGGTGTTTCTGCCCGTGGACTGGGCCAAGAAGGGCAGTACACCACCACATCCCCTGTCCCAGTAAAGACCAACCTCGCGAACTCCGAGGCACTAAGGAGAGGCCACCCAGGCAACTGAGCATGGTCTGCGGCGCCAACGCCATGGCCGGGATATTGGCTGCCTGGCCCAAGATGAAGGCCGTCATCCCTGGCCGGACATGCGACCGGTCGCCCGACCGTCGCCGGTCGGGGAAGCGACCGAGTAGCCGGTGACCGGCCGGGCCAACTTGAACTCCTGGCTCACTCGAAATGTGGGGGGGGAAAGGGGGCGTTTGAAGTTTCAGAGGAAGCGACTTAGGAAGAAACGAAAGGATACCGTCGCCTTTGACGCGTTTCATCAGGTTTCATAATGGTTCTGTTCAAAGAGTTTATGATGATTACACGCGTGTGTCTTTCTCCTAACCTTTGACCCAGACGGTGGTTCTTCATGAAAAGGAGAGAAGAAGCGAAGAATCCACTGCACCCGAAGCCATCCACGCTGATCCACTGGAGGGTGAAACTTCAGGGTCTCGTGCAACTTCTCTGTCTCTGGGTGAACTGCAACTCCAAAACAAAAAAATAGGCCAACAACTCACCAAAACCACCAAGTCTAGTTACTTTGTAGAACTCAAACAACCTCACCACCTCTTTGTCCAACTTTTGATGGGTCATGCCATGGTCGCGGCCTGCAATGAACCACGGCTGCTTGAGGTAGTTGGCCTTCTTGCCACTCTGCTCATTTTGTATATGAGCCATCTTTTGGGTCACCAAGCCCAGGGCCGTCAAGCAGTTCGACAGCACGCAGAGGCAAACGCCCCAAAGCCAGAGTGGAACTCGTTGCAGCACATGCGTCATGTGCGTCGCCTTGGATCGGATGCCATCCTGGGGTGACCGGTGGCGATTCGAAAGACCCGGAGGACCCCAGGTGGGTGTCGATTTTTTTCCAAGTCACCAGGATGAGTCCGGGCAGTGTAGAAATCTCCAACGAGGTGGTGAAAGTTCTACCCGGTAATTCTACCCCACATGGAACCTACCTATGCAACCTACCAACTGGCTTCACTGTGTCACTGGGGGTCTGTGACACCACTTAATGCTTGGTCGGGAATCGCCTCTGTTGAAAGAAACGCCCCTTTCTCTTCGGACCAGTCTCCATCTCTGATTGGTTCCAACTGAAGTTCTCTCGGTCGACTTCCTTCGGCGAAAAAAAAAGAAACCGCCCCTTTTGGGGGTTCACGAAACGAGTCTTTGGTTTCGTCGGAGCGCCAGCCTTTCATATTGGGAACAAGCTGAAACCAACGTCGGTTGCTGGGGCTGGGGGTTTTGATCCACCTGGTCACCACCCTGCCGTCACGGGCGGCCTACCAGGTCACTGTCATGTCAAGTGGCAATGGTAATCATCGGTTCGATCTCGGATGTCTGGCCCCCAGGCGCTCGCCGCTGAAGACGGGCGGCGCTGGGAACCCCCAGAAGCCACGCCCGGGCATCTTTTGAGCCATCACCCGCGGCGGAAGACGGACCCGTTGCAAGTCACGTGAAGTTTCGCGAGACCCCCCCCTTGTTGCGACTTCGTTTGACCTGGTCTAAGACCATGATGTGAAGCCAGGTTCCAACCCCTGCCCAGTGCTCAAGAAAAGATAGGCTGCTCTTCCCGAACGTCTGGCCATCCACCACCTGTGCCACACGCTCACCACCTTTGCCCGCCGGCCCACACCCGCGAACGCATCGGACCGCTTTCACCGGCCTCGGAGCGGAAGTAGCGCTCCCTCTCCTCTTCCCGAGCCGCCTCCCCGCGGGCGCTTCCGGCGCTTTCCAGGACGGTCCCGCCGGTCCCGCTGCGGATCCGTCGGGGTTCCGGTCCCGCCTTCAGCGCTTCGGGCGCCAAGTCCTCGGCCTCCAGGGCCACCAGCCTCCACGGGGGCAGCACGCCCTCCAGGACCTGAAACCACTCGACGTGCGAATGAGGGCCCACCGGTGGGAAGGAAAGGCACGCACACGGAGTATGCGACCGGGACCCGGGAGAAGTGGGTTTTGGGAGTGTGAAGGCAAGGAGATCGAAGGAGATGGCGGTCTTTGAATCAACCCTGAGAAGGCGGCCATGAGCAAAGCGTGGTTCACGGGCTCCAGGCATCTGCAGGCATCTGCAGGCATCCGCCATTCTGCAACCAAACCAAGAAGATGCAAACACGGACACTCACGCACCTTGGCCCAAACTTCTGTTCCCGCAAGACAAGCATTATTTGTGCGCTATCACCCTGCCATGGGGAAGATTCGGACACTGTGCAGCTCGTGGTCTACGTTTGGTCCATGGCTTTTTGGTCCTGCCAGAAAGAACCAGAAACTTCGCAAGGATAGGGGTGCTAGTTGGAGGACCCACAAACGGGCGCTCCGTGTCCCTCTGTTTTCAATCCACATATTTCACGGACCTACACCAAGTAAAATCCTTATAATTGAATCTTATTAGAGTCAAAACCAAATACCAACATCCTCAGTGCCCCCGTCCGGCCGGCCGGAAACCGGGCCCGTCCGACATCGGTCTCACCTGGCGGAGCAGCTTCCCGTCGCTGGAGCCCAAGTTGTGGCTCAGGCCTCGGAAGCAGACGCCGGGGAACCAACGTCAAGGGAGCACGGAGCGAAGGGGAGTACGCCCAGTGAAAGCACGGTGGGCACGGTGGGCTTGGTGCTTGGAGAGACTGACAGGACTGCCGGCTGTGGCCGCTTTGGGGAGAGCAAGAGGCTTTGAAGAGCAGCTGGCATGCCACTAAAACACGCTCAAATTCCGGATCCAAAACAACACCAGCCCAGCCCGAGAAAAAGCCACGGCAATGCGAGAGCAAATGTTCTTCAGCCAAGTGACTCCTCGCACGTTGTCGGTACTCTTTGGGATCCTTGCCACATTTCTCGAAGAGCGCTCGCTCCACCCTGCTACAAGCATCGAAGCAGGCCTGGCACCGGCACCGGAAGAAAACCCCACGCATTGCCCCCACCCCCAGCTGGTCCAATGAAGCGATGGGTCCGGCCTTGCCCGTGCGCGCAGCGATGCGCATGAGGATCCCCACGAACTTGCTTCTCATGCTTTCGTCCAGCGCAGATCCCGCCGACCGCGCGGCCGACTTCGGGGGAACCTCCGCAGCGACAGGTCGGCCGAACCGGGACAGCGAGGACGGCCGGGGAGACCCGGCCTTCACGGTCGCCTTCACTACCCCAAAGTCGCACGGCTGTGTCGAAGTGTGGCCGCAGCATGTTCTCTTTCAACTAACATGACAGGGGGGCGGTCTTTGGAAAAGACCTTTCGGAGGCTTTTTACACTTCGGGGGGGTCCAAACTCCTGGATGGCTTTGGGAGTGGGGAGAGAGGTAGCCAAGGCTGCTCCAAGGTTCTCGGAGCCATGGGCAAAGAGATGGACATCTGGACTTCCGAACAGCCTCTGTTTCGCTTCTGCCGAAGCTGCAGCCATTGAACCACTTAGATCGTTCTTTCGCCTCAAAAGACCTAAAAAGAAACAGTCCAAAGAAACCTCACCCTTCGTCCTCGCCTCCGTCTTCTTGGTCGTCCTGGTCCTCCCCACCTCAGGGCGGCTGCGCCGGGCGCGCGCTTCTTCGCCGCTCCGTCCTCCCGGTCGGGTCCTCCCGGTGCCGTCCTCCCGGCAGCTGGGAGCCCGAAGTCCATCCAGGGCGGTGCACGCCTTTTGACCACATTCCCTTCACGGAGACGGTCTAAACACCATGCAGTTCACCCTGTTTTCCCCAAGAAACGTCCCAGTGGTCCACACGAGCAAAGTCTGGTGCCCGGCGGCGGAGGAGAATCTCTTCCCCAGCCAGCCAGCTAGCCCTTCACGAATGCCACAACACGGAAATGGTTCGCTCATACATGTCACCACATTGACTCTGGAAGGAACCTCTGGGTGACAACAGGTGCCCACAAGCCACCCGAGCACAGCGGCTCCTCCGAGCACCTATCTTGGCTGGAACCTATTCATATGAAGCTTTTTCCAAGCTCAAACTCTTTAGGGAGCGCTTCTTAGGACCTTAGGACCTCTTAGCCACGTCCCCATATCGTTTTGAAGACGCCTGTCGACTTCCGCGACTCCCTGTTCCCTTCCACCCAACCGGTCCGGTGAAGCGGGCCTGTGGCGCCTCAGCCCACTTCCGCAGCAGCGCGCTCAGCCGGCCGCCGACCTCCGCGCCCATCGCGGCGCCGGCGCCCTGCACCGCGGCGCGCCAATTGGGCAAGGCCAGGGTCGAACGCTGAGGATTCGAGAGGCGACTGTCCAAGGATTCCAGGGCCTGGCAGAAAAGAACGGAGGACGTGACGTCTATATGGATCGAAGTTGCCATTGACCAATTCCATCATCCCTTCACTAGGCCAGGGAGCCTGGTATGACCTGCTTCAGGAAGCCTCAAAAAAACGGAATGCGCTTGGGGCTCCGCTCACACCAACTGAGAAGAGTCGTGACCACTCAGGATTTTGACCATACTAGTGGGCTGAAACCGTGCCCCTTGCTGCACCTCAACATGGCCCACATCAGTGGGAGATAGGACAGCATTCTTCTTTCGTTACTGGAAGCTCTCTTCGATCTCCCACTCGCTTCGCCCAATGGAACCTGGCTCCACCTTCTCCCGCTCGTCCGCTCGGAGGTCCCACGTCCGAGCCGCGAGCCAGCCGCGATCCGCACCGCGACGTGTCGCCCCTGTGCCCGCACCAACCACCGACCCCCCCGCAAACTCGATCGCTTGCCCCTTTCAGGAGACCCCCCACCAACACCGGCACTGCACCACATAGAAACACCACCCCGACACATGCACACTGACGCCCGACTTCATCGCGGCGCGCCGTCCGCGCTTCGCGCGGCGCGAGGCTCTGGCCTCCACGAGGCCGATGGCCTTGGTCACGTCCCGACTCTCAGCCAAGGCCTCCTGAGACGGAACCGCGCCCAGGGCGGACTGGATGAGTTCTTACACTCTCAAGTGCAACCCTCACAAGACATGATTCTTTTCAAGAGTCGTTCATACACGACGCCCTCTCTTGCTGTTCGAACGCACCGTGTTTGGGCGGCCTCTTGTGCCCCACACCGTCTCTTGAACCACACCGAAAGTGGGGAAAGCCCAAGACCACGTGCAATCCCAGCGGCCACAGCGGCGCGCAAGGCCTTCGAGGCCTGTTGCAGCTGCACAGGATCCTGGGGCGCGCTTCTTGCAGGACGGCACCATGGCATGACTGGCGCAGAATGCAACACTGAAGACCAGGAAAGCAGCAGACCCTGACATGGACCCTGACACTTGCACCCACCAACTCTCGCGGAAAAAGCACCCTTGTTCGCGAGTCCAAATCCGCCCACACCGTCCACGCCCAGTCCGCCAGCCTTGAGCTTGCTGCCCCTCAGCTGCTCCAGCTGCTTCTGGCCCCGCGCCAGCATCGCGCTGGCCTCCTCAGTACCCGGAGGGTGCGAGGAGTAGGCAAGAGCTGCCTCTATTGATGGCTCTAAGCATCACAAGAAAGGTCTCCAGGTGGCCCTGCAGGCTGACAAATTTCCTTTTTTAACTAAAAATCTATGAACGAAGGCAGCACTGTGTCAAAGAAGACCATGTAGAGATGAGTCTCGACCAAAATTTTGCTGGGACCCCACGAAGTATGGGAATCATGGCTTTGCACAATCTGTGCGCCCTTCCCCTGGGCCACGAAGTCAAGATTGACCAAACTACCATCAAACAAGAGTGCCTTAGCAAAGCCTGAAAACTTGAAAAAAACAAGAACTATAAGCATATGGCTTCGCCTGATCTGAGCGTGTGACATGAGTTTATCTCAGCAGTTTCCGGGATCCTCCCGCATGCCGGGCGTCGTAGGGCTTCCGCTCCTGTGTCGACAGTTCCGCCCACGCGGCTGCCAGAGCCTGGGCGCATCGAAGCGGAGGCACCAGTCGGGGGTGCCCAACGAACGGAGGACGTCGGGGGTGCCCCTGTCACATCCACTCACTGACTTAGGGACGCAAAAACACCCCGACATGTGACTCCTGGTCCAGGACCTCTTTTTGCTGGGGCCTTCACCTGGGTAGAGTAGACACCCCATCTCAGTAGATTCTTCACACTTGGAGAAACCCCAAGACACCCCATTTCAGTGACTGAAGGCTGCAACCCTCGCCGGCCAACGGTGCGTCGCACTCAGAATCCAACCTTGAAAAAGGGGAGGAAGCCATGTGAACTGACAGAAACGTTGCCAGAAAGCAGCCAGGCAACCAGCTCCATTCAACCAAAAGAAAAAGCAATTATGTCGAGAATGTATGATCGTCTTGCAGGAGTGTGGGGCATGTCCGAAACAAACAAAAAAATGGAACGTTTGAGGATGAATTTCACGCTGCGACAGAACGTGCCTGTCTTCTTTCTCTTGCATTTAATAGACCCATGGTATTCACCGAAAAGTGCGTTTGTGTTTGTTAATGCTCAGTGAACATGTTCCGCGATCGAAAGGTCCATCTGGGATGGCCCGAATCGATGCAGCAAAACCTGTCAAGCTTGCCTCGTCGTTGACCATGTGCCCCGACCAAACAAACTTAGTTAACCCACAAATGAGCACAGCATATATATCAGTAGACCTGAAGCCCGTTTTCACCCTGGTAGATTGACACTGCTTGGTGGTCTATTCTCTTCATGTTCGGTGCCACGCTCCGGTGCCATGCTCCGCATCCGCCCGAGACGCGGATCCCTCCGGTGGCGCCTTGGAAGCTGCGCCCAAGTTCTTCGGGTCGCTCAAGTGGACCTTCGCGAGGACGTCCTTGCCTCGTGCCGAAGCCGGACGCAGCTCGGTGCCGGACTCCGGATCAAAGAGTTTCTATACCATGCCATGCCAAAAATCGAACCAAAAACAAGGAAGAACTAGATTATGTTTCAAGACTACCGCCAAAAAGTCCATCTCTAGTCTCAAACGTAGTTTGTAGTCATGATCAAAGGAATCAAATGGTTGGTTTGTAGCCAAAACATGGGACCGGTCCTCGTCCGAACCACTCCCGGCGGACCGGGTCCGGCTCCGTGGTCCGGCTCCGGCCGCGGTCCGGCTCCACGGGTCCGGTCGCACCGTGGAGGCCGGGGGGGGTTTTGGAGCCGATCTGAGATGGCATCCAATCATCAAAACAAGCCTCAGAAGTAGATCTTCTTCAATCATCCAATCTACTTCAACCTTTTGGCATCTTTTTGCCTTCCCAGGTCACACAAGCTCAAAGAGCGTGCGTGAGGTGTCCTCTCCCCAAAACGAACAAAACAACGGACGTCCTGGCATTCCGGCCGTGCCCCCCCGGTCGACTCTGTGGGAGTGGAGTGTGCCACGAGCTCGCGCTGTTCGTACAGCCAAACAGCCAAGCCACGCGCTTCCTTGGAAAAGCACGCGAAGGCATGCTGGGAGCGACCTGGCGACGCACCCGCGCGGGTAAAATGGCCGACGCAAGACGAGGGTTTGTTCTGCCGTTGGTCGATCGAGTCGATCTCGGCTTGGTGGCCTCTGATTCATGGTTTTCCAGTCTGATATGGATCAGTCTAATACTGGGTTTCTCAACAGTGCTTCATTGATCTCTCCTGCACAAAAGAACACTTCGAGTATAGAAGATTGAGTCCCCACAAACACATAAGCTCAGTCTTCCCCACATCAGTCTTGCCTCCCAGCTTTTGCCAAGCTATGGACTATGAACCCGCCCTTCGTTGATCCCTGAGGTAACGGAAACCCTTCCGCGTAGCCATGGAGCCATCGAGCCGTCAGGGTCAATGCCATCCCCCGGTGACTCGTTCGAAAGGGCGCCCATGCCGCATGGCGCAGCATGACTGAATTCAAAAAGGTGCTGTCACATCATGACTGGGCTCACGGTTCAACATCCATGTTTCGCGCAAAAGCGGCACCAGCAAGCCAAAGCCAAAGAATAGACCTCCGAAGTGCAGCTTCATGCAGTATCGATCTCAAATCCTGTTCACCCTTTAAATACTCATCTCCAGGTTGTTTTCTCTTCGTTCTCTCTTTCTCTCGGTTTGCACGCTCTCTATTTTCTCTTCACTCACCACCCACCACCCGCCACCCGCACGCACCCGCCAATCCCACCACCTGTCCCTGTACTCGACCCGAAGACAGCACCGTTCGATGCTACTAACTAGTAATGCCCGTCTTGCTACGTTCGGTAGCAAAGGCCAGGAGCGCCCCGTTCGTAGCGGTCCGATCGCTCCGGACTCGTAGCGATACCCTTGTTACTATCCTTCCGCTCCAAAGTCCCAGAGGCTCCACCGGCCGCCCTGGACACCGCGGAGCGGCCGCGCCTGTTTTGCCCTGGACCCGCCGCTTGGGTGCCTCTCATCCGCCCGACGTAAAAACGCATCGGACGTGGGTGCAGCCAGCTGGACGAGGGCCTTCTTGGAGCAAACGGACATGGGACGAGGATGCTAGAAGTGGTGGAAGAGATTGCAGTGGGACCCTCTTTTCAACTGATGGCCACCAACAGCAGCGTCGCGGAGGGAGCCCTGGGCCTCTGCAAACGTTGGGTTCTGCATCGGAGTGCTTTGAATTTGAGGGGTTTCACCCCAGTCACCCATGAGTCACCCATGAGTCACCACTAGTCACTAGTCGCCACCGGAAGGGTTGAATCGGTGGAGAATCGGAGAACGGAAAACTGCCACTCTGCCAACCGATTTCACCGCAAAAGTTCCTCTTGGGCACGAAGCATCCACACTCCCGACGAACATCTCGCATGGAAGCGGAGAAAAGGAAAGTAGTCTTCCGCCCTATCACAATGGCAGTGCCAAAAAGGATAACAAATCTCTTGAAAAAAATTTTTCTCATCGCGCCGCCAGTCCAAACGAATTTGGGGACTCCATCTTCGTGCTGAGTCTTTGCTTCTGTGACCAAAAGTTCAAGCTATGAACTCACTGAAACGGTTTCTTTTTTCCCGGTCAACCTCCCTGCCTCCCCCCAAACGTCACCGGTGGACTCAGAGGAGATGGGGACCGTCCCCACCGTTTCGTCAGCGTCAAGGACACGAGACCGACGGCTCCGCCTTCCTAACCGCCTTGGCCGCTGAGGCCTTCTTGCTCGTCTTCCCCATGGCGGCAGGTGGACGAGAGGACGTGCCGAGACCGAAAGGGGGTGGCATGGGCATGGAATATTTACTAAACCCAGTTACTGTATTGACTCCAAGTTCATGACTCCTGACATAGACCGAATCTGAGAAGAGATAGAAGAGCAAAAAGAAAGAGTAGCTAGAGAATTCTGAGTCTTTTTAAGATTCTGCAAGTTTGCTGTTGTTTCTATCAGCTTGTCCCCTTCGATCAGGTTTGTATTTTTGCGCCCATCACCCGTGTCAAGACTCCAGCCACTCCGGACACCCTTTGTCACCCACCCGGCTTGATGGCTCAACGCGTCAAGGCAGCGACGCAGCGGCAGAGCGGATGCGGCAGCGGCATGAGACACCGCGCGATTCGGACGGTCGTTTCAGGCGTCGTTGCTCACGTGGTTTTTGTCCGCCTTGTGGACGCTTCGTTTCACAGAGTGGCCCGGGCTTCTTGTGGCTCTCGTTCGAAACCAGTGCAAAAGTGCATGGTAGTAGGGGCTTGAGTTCCTGTGTTCATGTCACACTGTTACTCCACCGAAAAGCAGACACAAAACAAGAGCACGCCACACGCCACCCTCAGCGGTGGAGTTCAGCGGCTGACAGTACACCATACTGGAATCATCTCCATTGATCGGTGTGGGCGGGTGTTTGTTCATTGGTTCTCCCATTGCTGTGTGGGTTCCTTACATATCTTCAACCCAAAAAAACATCCCCTGTGGGTGTTGGTTGGGGTGCTTGGTGGTCGGT